CCCTCCCGTCGACGCAGATACGACTGTTCGCACCTTGCCGCTTCCGGGTACGACTACCCTTAGTCCGCCCGAGGAGCGGTGAAGCGTGGCGCTCCGAATAAAAGGGTTTATGGGCGCACAACCCAAAAATTTTCCCTTTCGATAAGCCATGCACTTCACATCACACGAAATGTCAGAGGTGTCCGGAAGGTCCTATTCGTGTGTGCACCACTAACGTGTTACCAATAGCTGGATGGCAATCGCTTTAGATGATGTAGATACTTCTGGGAGCATGATGTGAAAGGACTGAGAACATGAAAATCATTCTTGGTTTCTTATCAACCAATCTTGCTGGAGAAAAGTCATGCAAAAAGAGGCAAAATAGGAGAAAATTTCATTTAGGCGGATGAGGAACGAAAAATGTTTAGACGTGTTCGGGAGAAAGAAAGAAATGAGGACAAACTGCGCGCACGTCTTTTATGCTCAGACCCTCGGGTACGTGTCGTGTGAGGTCGGCTTTATTGGCACTTTCGGATACATATGTAATGTAACCTGAGGGCTGCGGCGAGTTACTAATTAGGACGCGACCCATAACAACTTCGCCCTCCTACCATACATTTACTTTTGCTTCCATTGGCATTGTTCACAGTTAATTTTCTCTTGCCATCTATTCCTTCAATTATAGATGACTCACAGAGTTTATAACCAGCTGAGCATCATTGCTGACCTGAGACAACAGGGGAAATCTATTGCAACTGTTACCAAAGAAGTGCAGAAGTTGAGTTTCAGAAGTTTTTTTAATGAGCATGCTTGTAAAGTCCACTCATGAACTCATCATCATCGTCATGTAATTGTAGGTTGATCCATCTCTGGATTACAAGGTCATTTGGAGATTTCTTAAGAAGTTTGAGAGCAATAGTGTCTCCTCGAAATCTTGTATATCTCGCTCTCTACGCGGTTGGTTTAGTGGAATCTGAAGTCGTTATTCCTATGTCCATGTCCGACAGCTCTTTCAGTTCATTACGACGAAATAGTCGCGGAAATTGAGCGGTGCTACAGGAGCAATAGTTCCACAACAGCCATAGAAATAGTCAACCGCCTTAAAACGAGGGGTCTCTCGATCAGCGTGACTCATGTTAAGAGGCTAAGGAGCCGCCTCGGTTTCAGAAAGGCCACTACCAAGTATTGCCATACGATCAGAGATGTGAACAAGGAAGCTCGCCTCGAATTCTGCACAGATATGCTCAACAGAGGGACTACATTTTCAGCATGTGTGTTCACTGACGAGTGCACCGTTCAGAGTGAGCGCGCATGCTTCTCCTTAGTCGTTATCCTTCTAACATTGATTTGAAATCTACGCTTTCCACATTCTTTATCTTTCAGTAGACTGCTCGACGAAATTCTGTTACGTGAGACCTGGAGATCACTTCTCCAGGTTGCGTCACCGAGCAAAGCACCCAGCGAAGGTGCACATCTGGGGAGGCATTTCGGCCAGAGGAACCACCCAGCTCGCTTGCCGGGAGAGTGCACAATAGATAGTGAACTTTACTGTAGGATTTTGGAAAAATGCTATCTGCCATTCAACCAGAATGTCCACAATGGTTAGATTCTTAGATCATCGCTTTTTATGTTCGGCTAAGTTCAATTTTAGGGTTTTGTAAACTCGTACAAGACAATGCGCCTCCTCATAAGAGCCGCTATACGGCGGCTAAATTGAAAGAATGGGGCATTGAAACCCTGTCTTGGCCGGCAGAGTCCCCAGATCTCAACCCTATTGAGCTTGTATGGGGCAATATGAAGATCTATATCAGGTGAGTAGCTAGTAAAAATTTAACGCAAATAATGTTGTACATCATGCAGGAAACAAGGTATACGAAGGCTGGACGATTTGAAGGTAGCGATACTTCAGTACTGGAAAACTCTCACTCCTGATGTATGTGCTAACTATGTAAGCGGAATACGGAGCAGAAATGAAGCAGGTTATCGAACAACAGGGGAGAAACATTATAGAAACAAAGTAGTTTTGGGTTATTATTTAATGAAAATTTTTTTACACACTAAAAATAAAGCCGTTGCTTTCGTAATATTCCTAATAAAACGTTTTTTGCGATGTGAATGTGTGACACAAATGCTTTTCTAGACACTATGGACGTACTAACATTGCAATGTACCATTTGTTACCTGTGTAAACTGTGTCATAAGGTCACTGTGTTTGAATGACTATCGTACTGGTTGTCCCAGCTACCAGTAAGGTTTGTGCGTATCGGCCCACTGGGCATATATCATTAGGCTCGCTCGAACAGTTACATTGTTAGCAGTCTTGATAGTGCAGTCCGAGTGGTCGCTGCTCGGGCGCTCCTCATCGGGGTTCGAATCCTTAGCTGTACGCGATGTTTGCAAATGTGAGGTTGAGTCGCAGCCATCGCGTAGTGCAAGGCCGAACCTCTGTGTCCTGAAATGGGAAAACGGAGGGGGACTAGCAGATAGCAATGAGTTTACGATGTAAATCTCTGTGAGCCAAAGTGAAATCGGCCGATCCACGCACCATTGATTAAAGACCAGTCAATGCAACACAGGTTGGATTAGGATGCAGAGCCAATAGGGAGTCACCTAGCAACTGACCGCGGCCAGGCTCGCTCAAAAAAAAGAAGGCCAAAATGAACAAAAATGATGGAGTCGTCATGGAATAACATTTATATCAGTGTGTAGCATTATTCCTGCTGAATAGAGCTGTGCAAAGTTCAGTGCATCGTTGTGACTTTGACTGATGCCCATTTTGCACGAAATCGCGGCATGGTGTGTATTTGAGGGATCATAACAAGTAGAAAACTCATCTCACAGTAGTGTTTCCTTGATTGTGTGAACCTATGACAAACGATCTTCTGAAACTTTGAGCCACTCATTGCTCATCACTCCCGCTACGGCGGTGCATCAGTTCAAAGATGGAGGAAATTAGGCTTCGTTATAGATCATTCCGAACACTGATATTTGAGAGCGGATTATTAAAGAACTGCTCATCTGTAGTCAAAAGTGCTATGATATTACTAAGTAGCACTATACGTAGTTTGCATATCTCAAGCGATTCCGTCCACATCCTTCTAAGAATGGAGAAATGAACGTTCAAACTTCAGAAAAATCACGAAGTTGAGTTGACGCTCGTGCTCTGAATATTCCATTAAAATGGTGAAATCGAGCATCAGGAAGGAAGCAAGCGAGATAATTTTTTCACTAAAGCCTGCAGTAGAGATTTGCAGCGGTGTGCTATGCCCAGAGGTCAAAAATGAAACTTATGAGGGTTTTCAGGGAGAAGCTGATGACCTAATTTCCCAAAATTTACAACAAACATACCGTTGGACTCGCCGTATGCAGGGGAATCCGATGCTGTCCACATCTTCATTTAGTTCATTTTTAGCAGAGTTATGCCAAAGCGGCGCTTTGCGGCGGTTTGCGGCGGATTAATCCGCCTTTTTTCCAAAAATTAGCGGCGGTATTGTACTTAGGCAGGCTTGGGATGTGACTACCTGCAGCGCGCCCTCCAATCAGTCTTTTTCTTGAGGTCCTGTGTAGCAGCTAAGAGCGGATAACTCGAATGTTTCCAATATAAGGACAAGTCTCCGCCTTCAATACCTTTTTTGGGATACGGCACTCGTTCTACTTCCATACAGAATCGTAGCAGTTAGGCTGCGTTTATACTTTGCGGCAGCGTAGCGTAGCGCTTCCAGCGTACGCCAGCGGCAGTGCCGGGGAGAGGATGCATATCGATCTAGCGTTCCCAGCGTCACCAGCGTAACGCTAGCGTACGCCAGCGTTTCGCCAGCGTTTCACCAGCGTTTTGCTGGCGTTTGCAGCGGCAGGGGAGTAGAGATTTTTTGGGGATTCGGTACGACCCCCTATACATAAACTTATGAAGTTTCTTCCCCCCCCCCCCCGAGGAGGAAGAAACTTCATAAGTTTATGTATAAGTAAGCGCGAAAAATGGAAAAAGTAACAATCCTGAACGAGGCCCCCT